TTAGTGTCACTTATTGAAGAAACTGTAGTCTGTTATGGTTGAGTTGCTCGACATTCAATCCTAGGATACAGGGTCAAAACCTTGCAATAGTCCAGATTTCTCTCAACTTTCCAAACTGCTATTTCTCCAGACTTGCTGAGGCACATTCTTTACAGTAGTCCAGACAAGGAGATTCCGGCTTAGTAGTCTCACTATTAGATCCTGTCTTGGTAGTCCAGCAACAGAACAAGCTTTGGCAGTGAAGTGCCATTGAGCTTCTGGTATTTCTCACATTTGTGTCATTTCAGATGTTACCAGGGTTCAAGACAGTGATCCTGTTAATTATGTTTCTGCGTATTCACTTGGCCTTCAAAGTGCGGTAGAACATCATGCAGATTTTAACCTGGTGACGTAACCACTTCTTTTAATGGCTCCTGTATAAATTGGCCTTTGTAATTTTTTTTTTTATCAGATATTATTTTGTGATATATAAATTGATGTATTAAGCGAATGTTTGAATGATCGATTGATCTGTCAATCTGTCTGTTATGATCTATTTGATACAATTTTTCTGATTTTCTTCCGCTCCATGCAGGACTGTGTGTGTACATAATCTGTTATTCAGCGAAACATGAATCTTGACATTTCAACATAATTACAACCATATTCTCCATTCTACTGTAATTTCATATTTCATTTGGAATACAAAAACTATACTATGAAAAGGTTGTATAAAGTTCAAGTGTGTATTATTGGCTAGAAAAAAAAAACTTAAGTGCTGCCAAGAGATCTAGTTTTTTTACCAGTCATTCACAAATTATCTATTAAACTAGCAATGTCTGCCAAAATCCAAGAAAATATAAATTGGGGGAAAAATGGTGGCTGCATGCCTCTTCCTCAGTTTTTAAATATTCAAAAATATGTATCTCATTAACCATTCCCAAGTTTTCTTCAAACACACTTTCTTATCTTAGAAAAATCAGTTGTAAAACATTTTTTTTTTTTAATTGTCCTACGGAGCCTGCCTTTAATCGGTCAATCAATCAATCAAATAATTGATTGATCAGTCAATCAATAAATAATCTGATTTGCAATTAATACAAAAAATTAATATTCATTGTTTGATCAAGCTTCACCCAGCTGGCTAACCTCGGAGCACCTTCACCATATGTAGTCGCACATTTATAGCAATATACTTTACACTACATATGGTTGTATCCACGCCACTTCAAAGTGTCAAGATGTGTCGAGGAGATCAACTGAGGCTGTCGGCATATATTTTTTTTGATGGATGAGTATGCAAGTTCTGATCCATTCATCAGAAAGATTGATTATACCAAGAGTGAAAGAAGACATTATAAAAAGTGTTCAACAAATTTATGTACCGTCGCATTCTTTGTATATAGCATCGATCTTATATCATTTTTTATGTTTCTCTCAGTCATTGAATAACTAAGTAATTATACAAAGAAATTTTGTTGAATTGAAGTGTATACATATTTGTCCACACTATTAAATTGTATGCGACAAATTTGTGTGAATTTTCCCATATATGGGCATTGGAATGTCATATCTCATCCATATATGGGCATTGGAATGTCTATCACATCCATATATGGGCATTGGAATGTCATATCACATCCATATATGGGCATGATGATTTCATTCATGTGTTTGTTACATGAAGTTTAATAATGCAGAAAGCTTAAGATAGAAATAAACTGTAGTAGTACAGTATATTGACAATGAAAATTCTATGAAAAATTATCAATAGGTATCTCACTTGAATAGACGCTTCTCCCAATTAAGTGCCACTCATTGTACTAGCCTGTCAGTTTACACAGAAAAGAAAAGTAGAAGAAAACCATAACCTATATATAGAATAATTCCAAATCTAAAAATTAATCCCAACAGGTTTTTAATCATTCATTTTATTGTATTTCTGTTCCCTTTAGTGATCTCTCTTGTTTTCATTATCTGGTCATGTTTCCTGTGACTCTTAAGTCCTCTTCACCTTATGTTCTTCTCTGAGCCTTAACTATAGAATGGACAGATCCACTATAGAGATTGTGGACAGAACATAGTTATAAACAGCCCAACAGACAAGACAGGCAGTTAGACAGACAGACTAGTGGTGTAAGACCTATGGGCTCTCAGGTGTGAAGCCTTGGGCACCCAATCCAAAGAAGGGGCCCTGGAGGGCCCTCGTACTGATAAACTGGATTCTTAACAGAGCCATAACGTTATGGTGCAGTAGAAGACACTTAAAACTACTGTAACAAATTAAAATAATGTAAAACCATGTTTTTAGCTCATGAATGTCCTAAGTGGACTTGCATGACAACAATTCTTTATTAAATTTTAATTGCCGACCCAAAATGTTTCACAGCTGGGCCCCACTAGAAACAATTAAATGCTCCAAATTAATGAAGTAAATGACTACTACAGTAAAATTCACAGAGAATTCATATTTGATTATAGTAATATCGTACTCTACGGTGTTGTTTGATATTCCACTATGATAGTGGCCCCTCAAAATCGACTGCTAAAATGCATGGGCCCCCAGCACTTCCTGCCCTGTGACTTGTCATCACGCCACCTGGACAGACAGAAAAGAAGCAAATAAATATATGCGTATCAACCGATGTTTCCTTAGTATTCGTAATTTTCAAGAAAGCTTTTCTGTACAATACCAGTTTCTATTTTTAAATGAACTTTAATCGGAAATATCACCTGAGAAATTAACATTTCATCCTTCCTCCATTCTTTAATTCAAAATTGTTTGATAGATTTTTACTTGTTGTGTTGCTCCCCTCTTCTCCATCACTGCTAATACAAGAAATAGCACACTTCCTTTTCTCATTAAGGCTCGTTATTTGTTATAATTTTGACAAGGTCGGCAATATGCTCTTCTTTGTATCTTGTCTCTAAATTGTTGGTTGTATTAAGAAATCTTGTATAAAAGCATAGATATAAAAATATTGATTTAAAAAAAAAAATACTTCTGTTAAGTTGCTGCCTTCATCTTGTTGAAGTTTCTGCAACTATAAATATGACAAATACAGTACTGTATATCAATTTTGTAAATTTTAATTGTATTGTTAATGTTAATTCTTAATCTTTTTTTAGGAATAAAATTTTATCATTATTTTATAAATTTGACTTGAATTTATCGTTACTGTATTTATTGTTTTTTTGTGATTTTCTTCATAAATAATTCTTATATTAAAACCTTTGAATTACATGTATATATTGTACGATTTTTTGTTGTTGGTCTGTTTTGTGAATGTTGTAGATTCAGCTGTTTGTTTTGTTAGTTTGAAGCAATTCAGTGCAATACCGCAATTTCAATTGTTCATGTTTTTGTAAACCAGAAGAAACAAATACCATAGTGAGCTTACTCTTCTAATCTTGTAAACCTTTGCATTTTTAATAATATTATTAAGTATTATTTTTATTATAGAACAGACCTCCCTTAAACGTATATTATTATTAGCATCACGAATTCTTTAAGTCCATACACAAGTTGCTACTCTGTTAAGCTATGTTTATTTAATGATAAAAAAACTCAATGATATGATTTTCGTGTGTAGTGTTGAAAGAAATGGTAGAAACTAACATACTGTAGCTGCGACGTGAACACTTCTGTCTTGACTCTTTCGTACAGTGAAAATACTGTTTATTTGTCGCTCATAAACATTCAAGACTTAAACAGTTATGATGTCTGAATGGAAGTTTGATGGTAGGCACACCTTCTATAACATCTAGACTATGACTAACTAAATACACAGACACTTTCCTCACTAATTTCAAGATGAATTAAAAATCTTGGTTAAATGTTCAAACAAATTAATGGGTTGACCTTTCCCCAAACGCATTTATGGTACATGAGAAAATTCTTCCTTCTCCACATGTTTGTAATGAGTTCCCCTCCTGAGATTGATTGTAAAGTTATAAGATGGCGCCTTGGAGTGAGGCGGAATATGCGAACAGCGGAATTTTAGATACATTGTAGCCGTTTAATTGATTAAGAAAGGAAGCTATAAAAGTGGTTTGTAATAAAGTTTAGAGGAAATAAAAGCATGAACAAGCGTTTTGGTTTATTTGGAGTTAATGTCTTTACAAATCATATTTCTCAAGAAAGATGTCTTTACAAATCTTATTTCTCAAGAAATTTCTGAGAAATTGAATTTGATATATTGGTGAAACGAAAAGCAACTCATAACACCTGGATTTTTTACAGATGATGATGGTTTAGTTTCCAAAATCCCATCATATTTCTTCTTTTCGTTAATGATTTCTCTATAAAAAATATGCATGGTTTTGGTGCCATTGTCCCACAAATGAAAATGTATTTTTTTTTTTTAAGTATGATTGCTATAATACATTGGGTTAGGATTGGAATATTTTTGGTGCGAATCACACCAAGGATAGGAACGTAACCCACAAAGTCTGAAGACTTGTTTCCAGTGGGGTCCTTATGGTGGTGAATTGGACAGTACACCGGCAAACAATCCCCAACTCTTTTCCAAAAAGTGTAAACTGCGTTTTTTAACTTCCACATGGGCCATATTGCAAACAGGACCAACAGCTTAAACATTTCATTTGAAAGGTGGTGCGCTATCATAACATGTATTTTAAGCCAGTTCAGCCAGATGAGCAAACTTACTCTCATACACTTTTATGCATTTTGGTTGGTATAATGGTAACACAGGGTCAAAATCTAAGGTGAACTTTAACTTTATTAACTTTAACTTTATCAACTTTATTAAGTACATCTTGAAAAGTGTCTTAAACCATACATCATATATGAGTATTTTGGGATCCCTTGGCAAAAGAATAATATATATATATAAAAAAAAAAAAGCCAACCCAAGATTTTTTTATTTTGTTTCAGTCAGAGTTGGCCAACACAAAAGTTGATATTACGAATCTTGCTGTTCTGTTATTGTTATTATTAAATTTGTATTATTTACCTGTACATTATTATATAAATTTTACCTATAATTGATTTCTTACAGAACACCTATGATCGCTGGTGGTCTTTTCACAATTTCAAAAAAGTGGTTCGACGACCTTGGAAAATATGATATGATGATGGACATATGGGGAGGTGAAAATTTAGGTGAATATTTCACGTTATTTGACTCCAGTTATCTGTTGTTATTAAAGAGCAAACTTAAATCAAGAGGTCCACACCTTGTTTGGAGCTATCCTACTGTAACAGTTCAGTTCAGAATTATTTCTTAAAGAAGAACCGCAAAAAATAAGAGGCATGTCGCGGCAAATTGGTTAAGTTGTCGCACTGGCCAATATTTAGTAAATGAGCTATAAAGTATAACAGCTCAAAAAGTAAAAATCAATTTTTTTTCACTATAGATCAATAGATTAATATCTCTAATAACTAATTAATCATGTTCCAAAGTCTAAGTTCTGGAAGTGGTCAACAAATTGTTTATTAACGTCATTTTGATAGTTAATTCTATTAAACATTTTATGCAGAAATAATTTTGGAAGGCAATTACTCAAAATAATGTTTATCTTGACTCTATGAGTGCTCTACTTTCACTTCCCAATTAAATTTCCAATTTCAATGAATGATCCCTCATTTTAAAGATTACATACTCAAGTATCTGAAAATACCAATAATTTAAATTTCAATTGTTGACTACAACTAGTTAGCCATTGTGCCACAACATGGCTCATATTCTTATGTTGATGAAAGCATCGATAAATTATGAATCATTCATGATAAATCCCAAGGTTTTGGTAAATTTTACTTCATAAAGGTCTGTCCACACTATCAAATCTTTTAAAATAGGATCCTGATAGGAGCATGAATATACTGCGGAAACTAGCCTTTTACAAGTACTGTACTGTGTGATTGGTTGGACAATGCTACATCTATGTTTAAAATGGTGGAAATTACACTAAACGTAGTCCATTATTGGACAAGGTGCTATCAGCCATTGGTCATCTGTCAAAAAGTTCCTTCAAAACGTAGGACCAATGACAAACTCCCTGATAAACTACATTCACACTGTAATTGGTATGCCTGTCAAATGAATTGAACTTAACACATTCCATTTTACAGAAAAATTCCACTACCACAGCATAGAGTTTATCTACGAAAGTGTGCATATGCTCAAAATCTGTTGTATGCCCATGTATAGTCATGATGTGCCTATGTATGGTCATGATATGATGTCATCAGTGACCATATTTAGGCATATGATATGTTTTGTCGTGACATGGCTTTACACATTGGTATTAACCACACTAAGTGCATTCACTACATTAACTATAAGAATAATGCAATGTGTTAATGTTGGAATTACGTGTTGTTGGATGCAGCAGTTGTTGACGACAGGTGGTCGTATTTCCTTACACTTAGGCATCAACTACACAAATTACATCACCTGTTATAAATTAATAGAACTGTTTATTGTTACCAGTCTAATACAGGAAAAGACTAAATGTTCATGGTGTTTTTCATGTTATAATAATGTGGCCGGTGCTTAAGTGGTTGCAATTGCGTTTGAATTAGACACGTAATACCAGATATTTATTCTTGAAAATTTATTGGAACATTCAACGAGTTCTGTCTATAGTCCTACCTGCTAGCATGGGATGTCCTTAGTAATTCAGTGTAAGCATTGTTTGGAAAAAACTTAAGTTCATGCTGGAAGTAAAGAATTATATTAATTAGGTAATTATCCAACAGACAATTTACTTTATTTGCATTAGATTTTATTCCTAACACAAATAAATTAATAAAGAGTTAAATCTTTTGTCTTGTTATTCTACCATGCTACCCGTTGAGTGTCAGTGATTTTGTGACACTATAATCTAGTTTGAAATCATATTTTGCTCATTTTTCGCCTATGAATGGAAATCCAAAACAAACACCATAAAGTAGGTTTGTTCTTTATAATGATCTGTGTACAGTATGTGTGTAAGTTTCATTGTAATCCACCCTTACAACCTCACTCAGAGTAGTATTTTAAAGTTTTCAATCATGAGCATTATAGAATGTTTAATAGATTATGATATAATTAGTTAAGTTTAGGGATATGTTGCAGCAGTTGGTAATGTAATGGCAGGTGCTCAAATTTCCTACACTTGGGTATTAACTACATTAACTAATTATTGAATAGTCTAATGGGTTACTGTTCATGATTAGTGCTAATGTTGGTTTAGTAGGTCCTCAGGCGCTAATCCAGTAGGGGCCCCTTCCTCGTTTTGCCACTTTTTTTTTTTAATTTCAGTGCAAATCAATGTTATGTGCTACTCACTTGTCTATTCTAAAACTGTTGTCTAATTCAGAATCTTTCCAAGATACAGGGGTGGATTTAGTGGGGAGCAGGCCACCCCCTCCCACTTTTGGAAAGAAAAAAAAAGAAAAGAAAGAATGAATAAGAAAATATTATCGCTCAAAACGCTTCAGAGGTTATTTTCGGGTGTCTGGAAAACAAAAATTTTGCTAGTGTGTAACCCGGGACCCACTAGGGTGGTGTTATCTCTATTTTCCCCATTTTCGGCCCCACTTCGGCCCCTGCTTTCGGACATCTCTGGATCCGCCCCTGAGATGAGTAATCAAACTTAGTTGTTTCTAGAATTTTGGTAATGAGGCCTACTATTCTAGAAAGAAATAGATCCGTGATAATGCACTTATCAGTGTGAATCTGAAATTAAGTTGTTTGTTGGCCTTCAACGATGCCGGGCATCATGAGGCTATATTGTCCAACTTTCAATCAAGTTTTTACTATTACTGTAGAATGATTTTGTTATGTGATAGAATTCAAAGTAGTTTTGGTCTGAGAACTAAAATAATATCAAACAAAATCTCTGTGGGAATATAAAGTAAACGATAAACTGGGCTCAGAGAGAGCTTTCAGTACTGTTTTCAAACATCAAGCTTTAAAGAAATGTCACACTGAAACAATGGTGTATCTAAAGTTTTTAAAAATGGGGAAGGGCTGACCGGATGCAAAGGTGACGTGCGTGGGCTCAATGATTAATTGAAGTGGGATTAGCTCTCAAAATAAGCTGATACACTAGAGTATGAGGTGATTTTTAATTACTTGAGTGTAATGTTTTTGCTTCAAACATTTTCAGTGTGGGGATGACTATGGGAGTGCCAGCTTTATTTTGGTGGGTGGGAGGGTGCACTCCTTAATTTGCACCTGTTGTGCACACGATAAAAGAAATATTTGCAGAACAATTCTGATACACAATGTAGTCCTGAATATACAATACTGTTCAATATGTTTCTTTAGTGATACTCTGTCTTATGATAAAATCTCAAATAAAATCTTCAAACTTTCAAGTTTTTTAACTTGAGAATATTTGACATTTGGTTCAATTGCAAACTATATTGTAATATTAATTTTTTTTAAAAATCTTGCTAAAATGGTGATGTGACAAAATTATAATTACTGTAAAATGTTAGTAATTAATATGGATGGTATTAATTAAAAATCTATATATTTGAAAAATACCTTTGTATCTTTTAAAATATATACCTTTGTATATTTAAAAATATACATATATTAATTTGGTGGAAAACATAAAATAACTTCAAATATTCAAATAAAAGAACATGCAAGAATATTATTTTCAATTATCAGCAATTCAAAATATGTTGTTGTTGGCAAATCCAGCAGCCTTGTTATTAACACATCAATATAGTACATTAGCGGTTAAAATCTGATCATTAAAAATTAAATTCAACTTCTTGCATTGCCTTGAGAACAAAATCTTTGATGCGACTTAAGACATTTTTACACTGTTCATTGTCAGGTAGCTTTTCTTAGAAGTCTTGTTTCACCGCTACGTCTCAGTATCGTATTAGACCTGACGCCGCCATGATCTGTGGTTTTCCCAAAATTCACTAGACTGCTGTGTCTTAACAATTGCCCATGACAATCATTGACCGTGAATTTGATATTTCTTCAGTGTTTTTTTTTTTCATTTTCAAGGAAATTCAGAAATGATGTTTCAGCATTAGACATGTGTATATATTCACTTGTTATGTTTGTGAGCCGTTATAAGACTAGTATTAGAGGATGTGAAATTGTGAGAATCTTAAACTCGCAATCCCTTCACAAGATAAACTACACAAAAGATGCTCTAATAACATTGACAAAGTCTCATGAGGCTTAGGGAGTGGAGTTACGTGGTCATTAGGAAAACATTTCTGTTGGAAGGCACCACTGGTTTAAAGAAATCAAGTATTGTGGACTATTTTACTTGTTATATAATGTGAGCAGTTATGAGACTATAGAGGATGGGAAACTGTGAGAATCTTAATCTCACAATCCCTTCACAAGACAAACATGCACAAAAGATGATCTACTTCAACTAAGTCTCATTTTAAGACTTAGAGGAATGTAGTTGTGTGGTCGTGAGAAAAAAATGTCTGTACCGTTTAAAGGTTATAATGCACCACCAGTTTAAAGTAATCAAGTATTTTATAAGGAGATGTTACCATTTAATTTCATACACAATCTTTGATCACCTTGACAGATAATATTAGTTTTCATAGTTAAAATTTGGTCAGTTTTGAAAAATGTCTCATTGTTGACAACTTGCTATACAGTATTATCTATTATTGAGTTTTTAATGGTTTTTCGGGTTTTAATAGAAGAATATCTCTATGCATAATCAAAAAAGATCATCAAAACATAATTCAATAATAATTACCGATAAAGTATAAATTGATAAGTGGCTACCAGGTATTTTCAATTTAGTTCCACAGCAAATGTCCTTATTGATTAAAGATAATCATCATTGGTTTCGACAAATCAATTACTTACTGACCTTGACTGATGGTTTCGATGTTTGTAATATGTCGAATATCTTCTGAGTGAATTGCTCTATCGTTTATGATAGTTGGCGTTGTCTTAGAAAATAGTTTTGTACGATGTTCTAAATAGGAACATATTACCGTAGTTCGTCTGATATAAAGCCCATCTTGCTTGAATACAAAAGTGTGTCAATAGTCGTGGGTGGGAGAATCCTTCTTTGGGGATAACCAACCAATAGGTAATTTTTTCAACACCGCATGCCTAATTCAAAAGTCAATGTTATTTAAATCATATTCTTGGCTTTTACGTGGCACAATCCCTGGCAAGTAAAATTTGGTAACAAAAATTGGGTGGGTTTTACTCAATAAACTTTAGTAATAGATTTAAAATTAAACAGCATTTAATTACGGTAAACCCTGTCTGCATGAATACTGGTAGGTTTACACTGTACCTATATTTAAACCAAAAGAAACTGAATGTTTCAAAAGTGGGAGATCAGGGGGGCTGCCAAAAGGCAGTGTGAAAATATATAGATAAGAGGTTAACATAGGTTTCACTTAGCAATTTGTGACCCTTCCATCCTCCTGACAAACAAATTAAATTTGCTATTAAATAGTTATAGTATCATGTTATATTTCAACTCGTTAGATACCAATTCTAACAATTCATTTGTTTTGTTTTTTTTCCTTTTTATTTACAGACATTATACTGCAATAATACATAATAATTTTTTTTCTATAGACAAAATCCAGTTGGGAAAGGGCTCTCTCTTGGAGCCACTATTGCTGTAGGAACCTTCATAGGGTCCCCGAGTTTTATGTTCATGTTAAGTGGTGCAAGTATTTCAAAGAGATTACAATGAAAATAACATACTGTACATACAGTATCATTCCAATATTTACATTTGTAGCAGATGATACGTAAGAATCCCCCACCAGAGGTCCCCAGCTATGGCGTCTGAAGAGGGAGAATAATCACTGTAAATGTCGGTCTATAGGCAGGGGTTTTAATACTAAGAATATAGGTAATAGTAACATATATGCATCGAGATAGTAATTGGTTATTTTCTCATTTCAATTGAAATCAGTGGTACCAGACTACTTTCTCAAGTTACCATCAGTGATGCAAGATATTGTTGCATTAGCCTATATTTGTGTGTAAATTCAATTTCCTTACAACTGGGCTCTATCTACATTAGCAAATTCAATTATGTTACGAGTTAATGTTCATCAGTATTGCAGTTGAACAGTCAGTTGGCATTTATTTAAATGATACAATACTTTGTAGAGATGGTTTCTTCCTTAATGAGTGTAGGAGAAATTCCAGTAGTAAAAAAATACCAGTAAGAAAGAAAATGCCAGTAGGAAAAAATAACACTATGATAAAGGAACAAACTATTTCATAGTAGGGATACAAAAACCTAAAGTTTGAATTAAACATTTAAAATTATTAAAAATTCTGATCAGACTGCATCTTGCATTGAGTGTTTTAAATTATGTATTACAAACTAATTTGAAGAACTGAGGAGTAGGTAGGTGGTTATGGTGCTTTGCCTTCCGACCCAAGCTCCTAGGCTCCAGGAGATACCAGGAGTTTTTTTTCCCACAAAAACTCCACTTTCTAAGATTCATAAACAGACATATTTTATCCTATAATTGCTCTTGATCGTGAAAGAAACAAGTAAGTCAACTATAATCGTGAATACTTACCTGGGTGAACCAACTATAGCTATATTGTCCTGTAAATGAACACCACCTTGAAGAAATAAAACTGTCCATTTCAGGCCACAACATTACTGCACCTACACTCATTATGCTTTTCCTCATTCCTTTTGTTGGTGCAATAACACATACAAAGTTATTGAGGGAATATAGCATAAGGACCAGCTTAGTAAGATAAAACATACATTTATGAAAATTTTATAATAGTAATTATAATTTTACATGTGTCGAGTTGTATACCACTATTTTGGAGTATAAATGATAGCCTGGTTCTTCATATTCCTTTTTAATTTATTCACAGAGGCCCAGCTTGTGTGTGCTTGTAACACAGGCACAGTAATGAAGAGAGAAAGTGAAAAAAAATAGGTGAACAAATCTGAGTAGTTCAAATGTCAAACCGCTAATTATTAGCTGCAACATTATGAATTATTCCCTCCAAGGAGCTAAGTATGTGTTAGTACTGAGTATTGGCTACAATTATCTATGATGAGCATAGAGACTAGAAGTTATGTGCTATAATAAACCAAGTAATGTTATCATTATCGATTTTATTATTGTGTCATAAATCAGTATGCTAAATTACATACATCATTAATAATTATACAGATTTTGAACAGAGAAGCATGACATTTTGAAGATAATATCCTAAATGAAGTCGTTCATTTAGTCATTTTTTAATAACAAAGGTTTTTTTTTAAAGCTTATGTGAATAATTTAGTACCTGTATCAATCGCATTGCTTTTCTCTAACCGTGTAATATCTCATTCTTACAGTATAAGAAATCCAAATATATTACAAGTCCCTTTTGTTAAACTTACTAAGAGTCAATTTTTTATTACATTTTCAGGTCCCACTGTATGGAATAACCCAGATAAAGATATTATTATAAATTGTAAATCCCCGAAAGCATTCAAAAGTCACATGAAAACAATATATTTATCTAAGTACAGATCATCTGATTGATTTGCGCGAACACTAATTATTTTTCTCCATTATTTATTTATTTATTTTTATTATTTTTTCTATTCTATTTTTTTAGGGGTCAATATGAGACAAGTTCTACTTCTAGTTTTGATCCCTGTGATGGTCTAATTTCGCAGTTTGTTTTTTTTTGTTATTTTAAGAATATAATAATTTTAAGAATATAATTTTTCATATGTATGTTTTTTCTTATGACCATTACGAAATAAATGTTACTGAATGTATTTTTATATGTTACAGAAAAAATAATGGTTGTCCTCTATTTTTATATTTTACTGCTACAGTGTAAATAATAAAAGAACCAAAAACATGCTGGTCTTCATAAAATAGTGCTGTATGAGTGCTGTAATCATGTATGTACTGTATGAGCAAAAAACAGTACAGATATTTGGATTACAAGAAGAAAAATGAGTAATCCACATGATGATTCCAACTTTTCTTGTTTTTTTTTTCCTGGCACGAAACGTTGCCCTTTGGAAGTGCTTGGTAGGGTTAGGCTACCTGATAGTTGCCAATGTTAAGCCGTTCGCTCACTTCTTCCGGCAATTGTCGGCTAGGCGATTCTATAGAGAACACAATGCCATGGCGCGCACGCAACATTTCGTTTTTAAAAATGACCCGTTCAGACAATCAGCAGACTGCATCATATAGCACCTGTCTCTTATACACATCTAGATGTGTATAAGAGACAGAATATAGGTAATAGTAACATATATGCATCGAGATAGTAATTGGTTATTTTCTCATTTCAATTGAAATCAGTGGTACCAGACTACTTTCTCAAGTTACCATCAGTGATGCAAGATATTGTTGCATTAGCCTATATTTGTGTGTAAATTCAATTTCCTTACAACTGGGCTCTATCTACATTAGCAAATTCAATTATGTTACGAGTATGAGCAAAAAACAGTACAGATATTTGGATTACAAGAAGAAAAATGAGTAATCCACATGATGATTCCAACTTTTCTTGTTTTTTTTTTTCCTGGCACGAAACGTTGCCCTTTGGAAGTGCTTGGTAGGGTTAGGCTACCTGATATTTGCCAATGTTAAGCCGTTCGCTCACTTCTCCCGGCAATTGTCGGCTGAGGCGATTCTATAGAGAACACAATGCCACGGCGCGCACGCAACATTTCGTTTTTAAAAATGACCCGTTCAGACAATCAGCAGACTGCATCATATAGCACAGGATTGCCAGGCTTTAAAAATATATAACACTTTCATGGGGTGTTGGTAGTAGAATCATCTAGAATAATTTTTTTTTTATATTTATTATATATATTTATTTATTTAAATGCTATTTATTAAGACACTGTCCTGGCCAACTATTGGTGGAGTTATGCGCACATACCCTATGTTATTATCACTACAAACAATTTATTAAATTCTTTCAGAGATTTCATTTCGTGTGTGGCAATGTGGAGGAACGTTAGAAATCATTCCATGCAGTCGTGTAGGCCACGTTTTCCGTAAACAGCATCCGTACACATTCCCAGGTGGAAGTGGGAATGTATTTGCAAGGTATGTGAGTATTGGAATAATACCATGTGAGAAACAACCGCATGTATTTATGAAACACCTACGCCTATCACCATAGTTGATTATAAATCGTGGGAAATTAAGTGTGTACAAAACAAACATACCGTAAGCAAGTTTGATTGATTTGGCCGTATGTACACAATCCTTGATTGATGGATTGATTGATGAATAAACGAAATAATTAATTAAAGACTCATTATTAATCTCTTCTAATTACTAATGACTACAAACTTAGTAATAGTACTCAGTATTGTATTTGCCATTTCCATCATCTTCTGTGAATTATTATAACTTTTAATATCAGGCCTTAAAAGTTCTACCCATATTGTATTGTATATAATAATGATACCAATAATATTAATAATAATAATAATGATAATGGCATTGTAAATTAACAAAACAAATTAAAACAAAAGGGTAAAATGAAAAAGTAATTATAATATTAAACCACATTACTAAATGAAACCTAACAACATTAACTAAACTAATTGATCTTAAATTCACTTAGAATTACATCGTTTACTGTAATAATTTTTACTAATTTTTAGTTTCATTTTGAAATAAGAAATTGTATTGCAAGTTTTTTTTTGTTTTCCTTTAGTTCCATCTACTATCCATTTAGTTAAAATAGAACATCCCTAATAGTTATTGATTTTAAAATATGGACGTTCTTCTTTTCCGTTTTGATAGTTAAATATTTAGTTAATAAATATTTCAACTGAAAGTAGCATCAGTGAACACCTGATCGATAGTGTGTCCATATGGAGCAATTGCTCCTGGTGGACTGATAACTCTGAGCATGAGATCTTGTATGGTGACAGATGTCAAAATTAATCGTTGCAAATGCAGTTTAATATTCAAAGGATCTCTATCAATTAATGATTTATGAAATTAAAGTATTATGCTATCGTTACTGATTTTTTTTTCAGTTATTATAGTTAAAAAAATGAAGATCATATTTCAACTATTTCAATTGGATATGGAAGGAGTTTACGATTATGTCTGCTGACAAGATTTTTCATGCGGACTAGAATTGGTCCTTGGGGAGTGCAACTTGAATTAATAGATGTATAAAGAAGGCGAAATGAATGGCTATATTTTCTTAGCTCAGTTATAGATAATATCCATTTCAAAATGCATTTCCTAAACCTGTTATACCATACAACAATATAGTATAGTAAAGTACTATTTGTTTAATACTAATAGGCCCAATGAAAATAAATACATGTTTGCCATCCACACCAGCCTCTTTTATGGATGCTGCCTCATTTGTTTTTTCCAGAATTCCCAATCCAGTTTCCTATTAGAATAGGTTTATGTTTTTTTGTGAGACTATTTATTTGTTAAACTTATATTAGTTTTGGATTTTAATGGATAATTTCAGTTGATTAATAATACATAAAATTGACTTGAATTATGTGGATTGAAATTTGAAAAACACAAGGACATACTGATTTTAGAGCAAGAGAAACACAATGGCGTTGGGAAAATAATGAAAAAAATAGCAAATAGCTATTAAAAAATATCCTAATTTTATACTTTTTTACTACTACTTTTTTTGTCTCTTATATGAAAGTTTTTAAGGAGCCAAGCAATCTGACTTCAAATCAAACAACACTGGCTGGGTTTGAACTGGGGTCTGCAACTCAGGAAGCCATAACAGTTTTTCTTGTCCAGCTGCTCAACCTGATAAAAATTACACTGCTTTTTTTTTTCATTTTGATCTATAAACGATGGAAAAAATGACTTTGAAATGAGGAATGTGGATATTTTCTTGATGTCATTTTTATTGATTTCAGAATGTTTTTTATTTTCCCCATGATAGAAATACAAGACGGGCAGCGGAGGTTTGGATGGATGATTATAAAGAATTCTATTATGCAGCTGTGCCGTCTGCTAGGAATGTACAGTTTGGAAAGTAAGTCCGTCCTTGAAGAATCCAATGAAAATCGCATAAAAAAATATGTGCATGTGATCTGTATGCACAACCGCATATCATGCTATACAAATCTTTTATTATTTAAATTAGGTTTTCTGTAAAGTACTGTAAACAATTTTAATTTTTTTCAAAACCACCTAAATGGTGAGATAAATGTACAGTATATAAAGAAACATTCGACACATCATATATGCAAAGACAAAAAGTACATCAAAATACAAAGACTATCAAATGATCAAATTGAAAACAAATTCAATAAAATAATAATATGAGTATGAATAACATCGAAAGTTAACTCTTACAGTTGTGATATTAAAAGGTCTCTTACATTCTAAAATGGATATATCTGAAATACTGTCTTAAAACTATCAGTTATTCCATCTTCAATAAAATTTGATCTCAAATTATATTTCATTGTTTGTGATAACAACTGTCGAATAACATAAACAAAATGATAAATAATAATAATGACAGTGCTCGAGTAGGAACATATGATATTATAATCGTGTTGTAGCATTGCTGTTATTGTTTATTATTACTTAGGTATATTTTATTATTATGCTAATAATATATTATATATATTCTTACCGATTCTACGACTACGATTTTTCGTTGAGTATTATTTTCATCCAACTGTTTCGTAAAGGGACTTCGTTGACAACGAAATTTAACATAATCCAGAGTGCGTTAATCAGCGTGACCAAAACAAACATGGCCGATTAGTTAGTCTAGCAACAACATTTGCATTAATATAATTTTAGATTAAATTTCAGAAAATAAAAATTATAATATTTACCCACATGAAGTCAAAAAATAATTGTAGGCTAACAGAATTCAAAAACTGGATGAAAATTTTTTTTTATGAAAAACCCATACTGGCACAAGCTGAAGCAACCTTGATTACGCAGCGTGTATCGTGGTAACTACGCAGCCATTTTGTTTTCTCGAGTATTTACCAGTTTTCTAACGAAGAACGACCAGTCGAATACGGCCATAGTCACTTCTCCAGTTGGAGAACTTGAAACGATTGACATAAGTAGATGGCAGGAGAACAATCAATTTTTCTAAAAATATTTCAGTAGAAGGCGATTTATGTCAAAGAGGAATAAAGAGATTTAAACTTGTGATTAACTTTATTATGATTATTTTATTTTGTTTTCTTGTAGTATTCAAGGTAGATTGGAAATCAGAAAGAAACTAAATTGCAAGCCATTTAAGTGGTACCTTGAAAATGTTTATCCAGAATTAAGGTGAGTCTTTCACAGGAGCATTTTAAGTATAAGCGGTTGCTATTGTTACACCAGTCGTAAACAAATTTTAAATTCTGATTGGATGTTATTGTATGTATGGATTGGATTAGGGTAGTAACATCAAATCATATATATATTCTTACGTACGTATGTACAGCTCACCATTGGTTCCGCCCTGGTCGCTGCAACTCATAATCCTATAGCTGGTCTCTGCAGCTTCTCTCCTGTTCTCTGCAGCTCCCACCGGCTATCTGCAGCTTCTATCAATCATCTTCAGCTCCTATTGGTTGCCTGCTGGTCCCACCCTTTCTCTGCATTCCTCCACTAGTTCTGTGCTGCCACCTATAAGTTCTCTTCAGCTTCTTTCATTTTTTCTGTAGCTTCCTAATCATGCCATTGTTCTCTGCAGCTCCCAACCACATGCCATTTTCTGCAGCTCCCATAAGTTCTCTTGTGCTCCAATTCTCAGAGCTTTCCAATCTCTCCATGGTTCACCACAGCTCCCCACCAATTCTGCACACGTAGAAGTGGTTTGGTGCAGTGGGAATGGTTTCGTTTTTCAACTTCGAGGTTGGGGTTTCAATCCCTCTCTGTGCAATTCATTTGTGTCCTTGAGAAAGGCATTTTATCTGCATTGCTTTTCTCCACCCTGGAGTCTAAATGGGTACCTGGTGTGGTTGCCTTCTCCTGGGCTGATTACCAGCAGCAACACTTGTGAACCCAATGACAAGGGAAAGATTTGCGCTTTATAACCGCAAGGAAGAGGCACATTAAAAATGCCCGTACCAGTACCAGTTTTTACCAGTTTTATCTTCACAAGTTCACTGCCTAGTGTTCAGTTCATAATATGGAATATTCAAAGTTTTAACTTTATATTTTTGTATCTTTTCAGGGTACCAGATAAAACAGATATTGCATTTGGGGCTTTACAACAAGGGAACTTATGTATAGACACTTTAGGACACATTCATGATGGCACAATAGGAGTATATGAATGCCACAATAGTGGCGGAAATCAAGTAAGTAGTTTTGTGTTTCTTTGAGTTGATAAAAATATTTCTCTGTCTTTTTTTGTACATTGGTAATCTTAACATGTTTTCATTTTAGTATCATGTTGGAACCTTATTTAAAACTTAAAAAATACAATTTTTTTTTTCATTATTTATACACTTTCTATTCCCACTGGTTGGTTCCCAAAAAGAGAACCCTTAAAATAACTGTTTTCCTTCTGTAGCAATGTCCAGCAAATGCTAACCTTCATGCCCTCAACGTTGTTGATACAGTTGCAATATTTTTATTTGGAACATGTTGTGTATAGCTGATATTTAAGGCAACAACCATAACAAAACCTCTATTTGTTGTCTTTGCCAGAGTTCAAGACTCTGCACCATACAATAAAAAGCAGTCTGTATTCCATATTTATATGGCAGTGTTAAAATCATCTGTCAATGTTATTATGTTTTCCTGTCACATCCTCACAGATGGTAAAGAGTCTGGGTGTACAACTGGACTGTCACCTGACAATGGATGCTCACCTGCAAACCATTGCACGTTCAGCATCTGCGTCGATTAGATATATTGGGCGATTGCGAAAGTACCTCGATCAACAGAGTATAGAGAAGCTTGTACATGCTTTTGTCGAATCAAGGCTTGACTATTGTAACGCACTCTTCATCGGTCTTCCGAAAAACCGGGTGAAGATCCTGCAATGCCTAAAAATACTGCTGCCCGCTTAACATCAAGGGCACGTAAATTTGATCACATCTCCCGAGTACTTGCAGACCTTCGTTGGTTACCAGTGCAGCAACGGATACAATACAAGGTGTTGGTCCTGGCAAACAAGGAACAGCCCAATCTGGTGCCTTGATACCTATTTGAGCTTGTGCAGATTTACCAGCCCACAAGCTCTTAGGTCAGGTGGCTGATGTCATCTCGTTGTTGCAAAGACTAGAACATCCATCTACGGCAGGATAGCTTTTGCTGTGACAGCTCCAACTTTGTGGAACTCCAATCTCCATCTACTGTGTGCTACTTTAAACTCTTTTAAAACTAAGACTTTTCTTTTCCATCAAGTTTTTCATTAATGTAACATAATATCCTTATTCTGTGTTTTATTTACAGTGCATTGAGAGCTTGCTTACTTGCACTATATAAGAATGAACTTATGTTGTTGTTGTTGTTGTTATTATTTTTCATTAAACTATTTCTTTTTTTGTCTTGTAGGAATTTTCTTTAACCAAAGATAAACTTATAAAGCATGCAGATCTTTGTTTGACTTTACTTGACAAGAGTCCAGGGTCTGAAATTAAACTACATGGCTGTCACTCGGGCAATAAAAATCAGGTAAGTGTGTCAGTCAATCAGAACACAACATGGAATGATTAGGTGTGGTAAAATGCAGGTGTTTCATTACAAGATTTACATTTATTGTATTGAAATACTATACAAGAACGGTTAGTAGAAATATAGACAATGTTCGGCATGTACACTCGGCCAGAGTTTTGAACATGTTTTTGACTGCGTGTTTGACCAATAAATCTGAATTGAAATGAATATTGATTTTTTTTCTTGTTGATGGTGATGATTTTTTATCTTGATATTGCTATTGATGCTGTTGATGTTAATGTTGTTTTGCTGCAGAAAATGGGCCAAATCACATTGAAATGAAGCATTCCTTTGAATGTGTTTGGAGAACAAATTTATTTTATGTTGTTTAGGAGCATGTTTTTGCAAAAATGTTTCCATGTTTTTGTTTAGTGATATTGTAAAATAAACACTTATTATTTTTATTATTAAGTTGTTTTTTATGAATAACAATTAACTTAAAACCAAAACAGGCAAGCAAAGACTACATAGGTACAAACACCTCTGCAAACTTAGTCAACCATATACAGTACATGTACAGATCAATTTTATTTCACATGAGGAAATTTCAAATGATAAACAAAAATGAGTTACAGTACATTCTACCATTATTATCATCCTCATAATCGTCAACATGACATCATTGTCATATCATGACATCGTCACTGTCACCATCATTATCATCATAATAATCATCACCACCATCGTCACCCTTACCATTATCTCCACCACCAGCACAACCATCACTAGCACCACAACTATGACTACCACCAAATTTGTCAACTCTAATACCACCACAACCACCTTTCCAACACTGCCACCAAAACCACCACCATCATTCCTGCAACCATCATCATCATCACAACCAACAACATCATTTTTAACAAGTAATGTTTAGATAAATGATAAAAATAAAAAAAGAGCCCTGGTAATGTGTTTATCCTGGTCATCCTAACAATTTTTTTTTTATCTTTTGTCTTCAACAGAAATGGGAACGAAAAGACCGTCATTTGCGATTTGGTTCCAGTAATCTTTGTATTGACAGTAAAAATTCAAAAGGGCAGGCACTGGTTGTTCAAGAATGCGATCGTACAGCATTAACGCAAAATTGGAAATTCTCAATGAACCACTTAAAACAATAGTATTTGTTAAAATTATAATTTTTAATCTAGTTTTAAATGCAAGTTCTAGAAGTGTGCTGATTCAGGATGTTTTACCTCTTCCTGTCATCTCGGCAAACTTGTTGAAATGTTAACGCTGTCGCTCAAAATCAAAATGAAACCATGTGAACATGCCTTTTATAACAGAAAAACTAAAATGTTCCATATTTCTGATCTGGTTGTCTGCTGCCCTCTTTTGTGTGATCAGATGTCAAAGTAGATAAACATTCATCCAGAGGTATTTGAGGTTTTTGTGCAGAGAGTGGAATCTCTTGTATTTATGTCTGGAAGCAAAATTGAAGGTTACCCAACTGTTTTGTCATAGGAAGGTTTAACAAATGGATGTTTTTCTGGACACTGAAATCAACTCTTCACTTGTACAATTAGATTTAAATCATTTTATTATAAAAAAATTATTTTAAATTAATTTTTTTTAGCTTTGATAGACTAACATCCTGCAAAGGTTATGTTTATATTTCAATAACCACTTTTCAATACAGATTGCATAAATTTTTTAGTGGATCTGTTTTTGAAGTGACCAATTCATTTGAACATCTCGCGGTTTACTAATTTCAAAATTCACAAACTAATGAATTCTTGTAAACTTTAGACGTTTCTGGAACTTATCCGGCAACATTACCGACTAGGTATTACGCCGCGAATGTTAGCCGCATGCTGTGTGAAAATATCAGATATAATTAGACAGGCCTTGCCTCCAGCTGTGAAACGCACATGGTAAAACAGAAAGAGGACAGTTTGGCGCAACAAGAATGATTTGGTGTCCCGACCTCGAGGTCGGTGTTTCAATCCGTTGTTGTGCATTTCCCTTTTGTGCTTGAGCAAGACACTTTATCTGCATTGCTCCTCCCAACCCAGGAGTATAAATGGGTACCTGGTGGGGTTGCCTGCTCCTGTGCTGATTACCAGCAGCAACCCAATGTGGACCCAATGATCAGGGAAAACAACTGCGCTTTATAACCGCAAGGAAGAACCACAAGGAAAAGGCGCATTATAAATGCCCATATCAATACCAGTTCTGTTTTGACAGCAGCATGACAACAGCCTGAATAATATTAAAACTTTTCTTTGTATTGCGATTCATTATCATGAGACGCCACTGTCACAATTACGCAATTGAACTGGCTCGCTGGAATTGGCAATTCTTCCATGAAAAAACAGCGTGCAATGAAATCAAACCTGCTAGAAACTTCAATGTTGAAAGTTGTTCATTTGATATGCATCACTGCACGTGACTGAAACTATTTGCCGAGAGCTATACCGTGATTTTTGCAGTAATGTTTCCAGGGTCAGAGATGGTTAGTCAAATTGCCATTTTTGCAGGCAATATGTTCAACTGCTAACCAGCAAAATTGGTGACTGGACCTTTACAGATAGAAATCAAACCGGTAATGCTTATGGCATTATGACCCCTTTAAGGGCTCTCTCTAAAAATGTTTTTAGTATGCCTGCATGCCTAGCCTTAGCTGAGGTCTAAATCATGTGTTTGTTTCTTCAATAAAAAAAAAGGGTGACATCATCTTTTTTTAAGCTAAATGATTAAAATGGGGTTTTTTGTTGGGTGGGGGAGGGGGTGTATACTATCATCACAAATCAGTACTGTAATAAATTTTTCAGAATTATTCTCAAAATTAAGAGAGTATATAATATATGAGATAAAACATTTACCTGTAAAGTACAGTAGTTACATGCCAACATAGCATACAGTGGCAATTGATAATTATAGAATTACGCTATTTTCTGTACGCAGTATTCATCGGAGTTGATCGTCTCCATCGGGGAGCTGACTATTGCGAATCCTTGATACTTCATAACTAAGTCTGTAAGACTTTTTTCAGTTTTCAGACTGTAAGATTTGAATGCAAGCATCTTAACCACCAAACCATAAATCCACCTGTAAGGAGAATTTGCATGATATGTAGTATTAACTGAGTCAACTGCAGACTGCTCTGTTGTGTAGATGTAATTGTGATAGCTGCCCCTTTGCTATGAAAGAGTCTTTTGCGAGACCTCATCAAGTATTGACAAAAGTACATCTCTCCAAATTTATTACTATATTTGTTCTTTTATATTGTTTTACAACTATTTTCTTTTTTTTTTTTTTTACCAAATTTATAGAGGGTGGACCCTTCCAGCCATATTCAGGGCCTATATTTATAGTTAGAAACATGACTAGACTGCAATTGTCTATGTAATTACTGAATGTTTGTTATCTGTATCAAAAACCAGCTATGTTACATCGTCATTGAATGCTCATAACAACTTGCCCATTTTCCTCAAGTTCCAAGTAAATATTTGTATGAAATTTCCTAATTGTTGACATTTTGATAACTATTAATGATTTATATGAAATTTAGGTTTGTTTACGGATCTTATAATTGGGTTTATTGCATTGCTGACGATATAATTAAATTATTTCAACATTGCTAAAGATGCATACAAAGAAATCCATTCATTTTAAAATTTTATAATCTTATTATTTTGTTCTTCCGTTGTCATTGAAAATCTTCCACAAAAGACTAAATATTTTGAAACTGATTCAAGTTCATATTCATAACTAAAGTTACTGTAAGTTTTTTAAAAAGTGGGAAAGGAAGGGGGTTCAAGGATTACTAGAAAAAATGTTTTACATTTAATTAGGAGCTTAGTGGTAAGATGTTTATAATTTATTCGAGCTTGGTAGTAAAGAATGAGCGTTGTACATTATGTCCGCAATTAAAAATGGTGCTAATAATGCTCAAATTGTAGTGTTAAAGCATAGGACTATTATTGCAATGGACTAAATTTTGAAGACTTGCCTTTGACAACTCATCACTCACATCACAAACTAAGGCAATCAAAGTAGATTGTGTCAGTTTGTGAAAACAAAGAAAGATAAGATTATGTCAGTTTGTGAAAACATTAAAAATAAGGGCGTATAGGTTCACAAGCACTTTAGTATTCCTTCCCACACAAAAGTCGGTAACAACAGCATGTATTGTATTTTAACACACTTTGTGGCTTTACGAACTAACATGATCTACTGTACTTTCATACATTGTGTTAGCTTTTGATGTGAGCAATGAACTCTAGAAGGAAATGTATTAAAAAATAAGCTATTATGTAAAATCAGCCAATTTATTTTCGTCTGAAGGATTTTTATTTCCTCATTTTACTATAAAATGAGATTTGAATCAACATTTTGGTGTTTACACAGTAACCATAGGCAGTTAGTTCTGTTTATATGCACACACATGAAAAGGGTTGAAAGCATAGATAATGAGTTCTTGAAAACTAACTGCAAAGCAGGTGGAAAAAATTTTACCAAAACTGAATGTCAAATAATATGAGGCATGTCATCCCAATCCAGCATACTGTCGTTTTATGTTAATCCAAGTAACTAGCATTAAGTGAAGTATAACTTCAGTACAGACAAGCCATTGTAATTTCTAATTTCGTATTCTTTTGTTATATTAATTTGATTCTAGTAAATGATCCATCATTTTAAAGATTTTTTTAGGATAGCATGCCCCATATATTATTTTATTTCTGCATACCTCCGAAAAGAGACAGAGACATTTTAGATTTATCAGATGATTGCCATTTTAAGTCTTTTAAGTTTTTGCTTTGTTTTATGGTTTTCAGTAGCGGATCCAGAGATGTCTGAAAGGGGGTCGAAAGTGGGCCGATTGAGAGACAACACTACCCTACGGGCATACCCCGTCGAACATTTGGTGTTGTAGACGCCAGAAAATAACCTCTTAGGCGCTTCGGGCAATCATTTTTTCTTTTTTTTTTTCTTTTCTTTTTTTTTTTTTTATTTTTGGTTTCTTTTTGTAGACGCCAGAAAATAACCTCTTAGGCGCTTCGGGCAATCATTTTTTCTTTTTTTTTTTTCTTTTCTTTTTTTTTTTTTTTAATTTTGCTTTCTAAAAGGAGGCCCGGGGCACCCCCCCCCCTTCTAAGTCCGCCCCTGGTTTTATAGAATATCAAGTTGTCATTTTAATCGCCATGTATATTTGTCCATCCAAACAGTTGTACTTAACATTTCACTGAAACATTTCCAAGTTAACAAACAAATTATTTACATTATATTTAACTATGAAGCAGAGGTTGAAAGAAATTTAAATGTATTTATAATCCGCACCGAGAAATGTTGATATTTTTATCTCACCGATGAAAAAATGACGCTAATTTTAGGCAAAGGTATTTAGGCACAAGGATGAATATAAGTGGTGTGAAATGTCGTTGTGGATGTGCCATTTAGACGCTAAATTATTATTGTTAATATTATTATTATTATTAGTAAAATTTAAATTTATATCTCTGGATAAAGCAGAAAACAAAGTTAACCATTGGCATATCTAGGGGTGCAAACGGAGCACATGCTACCCCCACCCAAAAAAGTTCCCCATCCCATTGAAAATGTAAAAGCAAAAAAAAATTACGCTGAAGTAGTTAAAGATAACCTTAAAATATCCCCCACACTTAATCATCGATCCCCCATTCCAAATTCACTACATGTGACCCCCCCCCCATTTCAGTACTCCTAGATACGCCACTGAAGTTAAACTTATAATTAACCGGTGTTGTAACATTTTACGTTATGAACCTTCATCGGTCGATTGTTGTTCATTGTTATTATCATCATCATTAGTATCTGATTATTTTATCTGGAAATTTGAAAGGAAATGTGTCCTACCTAACATGTTAACGAACTGAACACTCGATACATTCCCAAATACTTGAATAACATTGAAGTACCCACTGCTAATTGGTGATCGGATTCAGCACTAGCCACTAAGACGCCACACTAGTTATGGAGGTCATAGGTTCGATTCTCTCCTGAATCACTTGTAAGATTTGTTTCCGCAAGTATTTGGGAACGTACTGAGTATTCAGTATAACACATCAGATAGGACATCTGGACAGTATCATTATTATTGTTATTAGTATTTTTGTTATTATTATTATTTAAGTGACTGTAGAACCTGATAAAAGGCTAGAAGCATAAAGTTAAAATGTTAATATCAATATGTTTATTAAATTGGGTTTTTTAATATCTGTATATCATTTGCAATATGATTACATTCATGATATCTCAATTTCAGAAATTTTAAATTTTTAAAGTAAACTAAACATCATGACTGTATGTCGAGTTAATAAACTTTGAAATGAAATGAAATTTTTGATTTGTTTCCCTTGTACTGTATTCTGTCTTTTAGGCTTTGTCAAAACTATTACATTTTCTTTGATTGTTGTATGCCCATATATAATCATGATGTGCCTATATATGGTCATGATGTGATGTCATCATGACCATATTTAGGCATGTAACATGTTTTTGTCAAAATAAAATTTTGTAGACTGGACAATGCTAAGTTATTAGCACTCAATTGGAAAATAGTATTAAAAAATAGTTTCCTTCATCAGTGGGGTCTAGTGGTGCCTTTTGGAAAACTTGGTACCCCTTTTAGGAAAGAATCAAATCATTTGTTGTTGAACACTGCTTTGAAAAAGCATTTGCACAGCCAGAGAGTGCAATTTCTGGGCATCTAGAGGTGCCTATTCTTAAAACTTGTTTATCTCCGACCCAAAAATATCGGAGCTGAGCAGAGATGAGGAAATTTTACTGATCTTCGACTTTTATTGGGGAATCCCTTGCACTGCCAGATGCCTCACTCATGACCTTTAGGCCTACCTTAATAATTACTTTCCAAGTTCTATTTTCATTTCTCTGCATGTCATACTAAAATACCTACCTATCAATCTATCTTCAGTACTTTACTTGTTGCAAAGATGCAAAAGCAATTACCTTACCCTTTGGCATAGCCGACATTGACTTGACATGTCTGTTCCAGGTGTTAGTGTCTAGCATTGCTTTGCCAAGGTAAAAGCCAGTGTCCCCTGTGATGGTGTCATTGTAGTTAAAGGGGATGGCTACCAGGTCTGTTTGTTGGGACCTGGGGCTGACGCATGATGCAGCGGTAGGGGAAGCCAGAGAGTCCACACCACCTCAGTCCCACCGTGGTTGTGGCTGAGGGCAGAAAATTGTGAGAAAAATCCTAGATACATCACTGAAGTTAAAACTTATGGCTAACTGGTGTTGTAACATTTTACCTAAGAACCTGCATCGGTCGATTGTTGTTCATTGTGATTATCATCAGTATCTGATTGTTTTATGCATCAGGAAATTTAAAAGGAAATGTCTGTTCCAGGTGTTAGTGTTGCTTTGCCAAGGTGGCTAGTGTCCCCTGTGATGGTGTCATTGTAGTTAAAGGGGACGGCTACCAGGTCTGTATGTTGGGACCTAGGCCTAGGGCTGATGCAGGATGCAGCGATAGGGGAAGCCTGAGAGTCCACACCACCTCAGTCCCACCGTGGTTGTGGCTGAGGGCAGAAAATTGTGAGAAAAATCAACCTCACAGGCGCGAATCCAGAGTTTACACTGACTGTTGCGAAGATAGGGTACCAGAGTGGGCTGGGCCATGAGGAGAGAACATAATGTTTGCTTGTTCCGTCACTGGAAGACAAATTTTAGACGTGGAGTCCTTCAGAAAGTTTTGTTTTCTAGATGCTTAGAAAGAATACACTTTCGACGTCTTAATGAAGGAATACACTCTAAATTCATAGTTTTTCCCCCACTTTACTATGGACAGTTAATAATTATGAGGATGATGATGATGTTAAGGAGCAGTGGCGTCTACTGGGGGGGCCCGGACCAAGATAAAACATTTTCAGGGTAAGAACAAAATCTCCATAGGGCCCGAGCCCAAGCCAGGATGAAAACTTTTGTTGTCAGATTTAGGAGGAGACTTAATTTGGGGAACGGCCAAGTGGGGGTCCCAAGTGAAGGGAGGACCCATGTGAGATGTTGCCCCGGGGCCCTTACTGGCTCTTGACGCCACTGATAAGGAGAGGCACCGTAGCTATGTGATGACAGACTCCTCTGCAAGATTAACCAGGCCGTTTGGTATGAAGTGTCAACCGTAGCCGGAGTTCGTCGTCACATTTTCAGTGCACACAATCCGACAACAAATTATCTACAATTTATATGATCAGTACATTCTCGACTGTGATGAAAATATCATATACCAAAGTGGAAAGTTTAACCTAAAATTTTGATATGTTTCATGTTATTTGTTGGATGGTCTTTAATAATATTACATTCTAATATGACCACAACACAAGGAAGAACATTTTGTCAAGTTTGGAAAAAAATTTGAAATTTATGTTTCCTTAGGCTTAAATCATAGGAAGTACACTCTTCATATTTTTTACCATAAATGGGTACAGAGAATTTTTATTAACGGTTAATCTCATACAGTATATCGAAATTTCAGGAAATTACATTTTATGCTTGCACTGACGTAGGAATTTTGTTTTATGTTGTTTGTTGAATGGTCTTCTTTAAAAATATTAGTCTAACATGACTACAATACATTAGGAAGTCCATTCTTTAAATGTTTTACAGCGTAGTACAGAGAATTCTGATTGTTATCTTATCATCATACACATGTTAGATCCAATTTCCAAAAAAATATGTTTTCAGTGCGCGTGCCAACATGGAAAGTTTAACCAATCTTAGTTAATAATATGGTTCTAAAATTCATCTTATGACCAAAACTTCTTAAAGGAAAAAATAATAATGCAATTCTTTCAATAATTGTACTCTGACCATAACCAAACTTACCGCCACCAGCTGGAAAAGTAATGAAATATGCATAATAATAATTTGATATTTCTAAAAATTGTTTAGTGTATATGATCACTTCCAATGACAGACCATAGGAATTATCTACAATTTATATGATCAGTACATTCTCGACTGTGATGAAAATATCATATACCAAAGTGAAAAGTTTAACCTAAAATTTTGATATGTTTCATGTTATTTGTTGGATGGTCTTTAATAATATTACATTCTAATATGACCACAACACAAGGAAGAACATTTTGTCAAGTTCTGAAAAAAATTTGAAATTTATGTTTCCTTAGTCTTAAATCATAGGAAGTACACTCTTCATATTTTTACCATAAATGGGTACAGAGAATTTTTATTAACGGTTAATCTCATACAGTATATCGAAATTTCAGGAAATTACATTTTATGCTTGCACTGACGTAGGAATTTTGTTTTATGTTGTTTGTTGAATGGTCTTCTTTAAAAATATTAGTCTAACATGACTACAATACATTAGGAAGTCCATTCTTTAAATGTTTTACAGCGTAGTACAGAGAATTCTGATTGTTATCTTATCATCATACACATGTTAGATCCAATTTCCAAAAAAATATGTTTTCAGTGCGCGTGCCAACATGGAAAGTTTAACCAATCTTAGTTAATAATATGGTTCTAAAATTCATCTTATGACCAAAACTTCTTAAAGGAAAAAATAATAATGCAATTCTTTCAATAATTGTACTCTGACCATAACCAAACTTACCGCCACCAGCTGGAAAAGTAATGAAATATGCATAATAATAATTTGATATTTCTAAAAATTGTTTAGAGTATATGATCACTTCCAATGACAGATTACACCCACAGGGTGCCCCTAAGCCAAAACTTTGAAAAATGGATAAATTGCGTTATTCTGAATCATGAGACTGAATAGATTACTGGTTTAAATGTAAAATTTACGATTTTATTTTTAAATCACAGAAAATCACAAATTTATATTCAGTACATTCTCGACTGTCTTGGAAATGTGAACCTTATCAAATTTGGTTGGGTGTGTACTCACTCTTCGCAACACCCCACCTACTGAATATATGGTCCTGGAAACTTTACATTTTACTTGCCAATTAATACAGTATTATACTCTTACTTATAATTAGATATCTTCCCAATTTCTCAGTATTTTTGTGTAATTGTTTTTCCACTTACAACGCTGTTTGATTTGAAATTCACATACTGTACCATTCATGTCATTGCTTTTCTTTTGATCCGCTATTCATTTTCAGTTTTTCAGTGCTTGGTGGTCATTTTTGACTTTCATTTTAGATGTATCAAAGTGTGTTCATAAGTTTTAAGCTCTAGGTCTGCAATTAGGCTACCCACTCCATTAAAGACCTGTTTTTTTTCGTATAGCATTCGTTATAACAATGAAATAATAATTAATTTCGCTTTACTGTAATGTTGGAATAACAAAATATAATAAAATTATATATGACTTTTAATAAGGTTACAAAATCAATGCACATATATATCCTCCCTGTGATTGGTTTTTGATTAACCATACATTGTGACATAAATCAAAATAATATTAAAAAAATTCAACAGTATACATTATCATAGTACATCGTGCCAATTTAATTACAGTCCATTTTTTATTAATACTTAGACAATGCAAAAATAACAATAATAATAATAATAATAATAATATAGGTTCTTAATATAACGCCCTATAATAATCTCTCAGAGCACTACTACAGACAAAAGTGAACTAAAAAAAAATAAATCAATAATTAAAAATTATATATTAAAAAGATGCTTTTTTAGGCGGTCCTTGAACATATAATAAGGAGGTTGCCTGGAGGAGCTGGTTCCATAAGAATGGAACACTGGCAGAAAAAGATCGAAAGCCATTTTTTTTTTCTTTTAGATTTCACTATAGAAAAAAAAAGTATTGCATTTATTTTGTCTATATTTTTGTCTGGTTTACAGTAGGTAGAAAGAGTTGGAAATAGCCAAACCACTGCACTGCACTGCAATCACTTTACATTAAAAAAAATATGTTATCACTCACTCTGACCTTCGCTATGGAGAACAATGTGAAGGTCTGGATTCGCACCTGCCTCTTATGTAAGTGCCCATAAATTTCACACTCATACCCTTAAAATATTACTGGTAATTAATATCAACAATACAGTACAATTTTTTATCTTAATATAATTTAAGGGGTACGATTGCACCATCTTCACCCCCTCCCCCTGCATCCGCCCCAGGGGACTCACCATAGATTAGATGCCATTGAGACGACATTTAAATAAAAGATCCTTGTAGGGGAATAGTTGTACAGTATTTGTGGAAGGGATTTCCGGGGAGAGTGATATCAATAAACTGTGACCACTTATTTGTTTACATTCATTTTCTGCGGTATTTTTTATAACTGAGTTCTGCTGTCCAAACTATCAAATTTTATTTGACAAAAACATGCGAGATGCCCAAGTTTGGTCAGTGACATTGCAACATGACTATATATGGGTATATGATAAAGTGGACAAAGCATTAATCCATTAATATCTTACAATCCATTATTGTCAAATTCAATATTGATTTATAGATTCCATGGTTATTGATTATCCATAATTTTTATTGTTCAGACAAATATTGTATTTTAGCTTTATGATGCAAATCGCATAAAAATATCTTATGGGAAAGAAAAATGCTGCAGTAAAGTAGCGCTGTGCTATATTTAGATACTTAATTACTGTACTTCAGTTTTATGTTGTTGTTGTTTTGTTGTTAGTATTTGCAGATTGGACAACTTCCCATTTGCTATCATTATACATTCATTCATTACATTCTACTTCATTTTATTTCAATTCTTTATTTCAAAATCACAGTGAATCGCTAAATTGCGGAAATTTTCACATAAGTTAAAAAGTTTACAAAATTGTCGTTATAAAAGCAACACATGCAAAAGTAAACAATTCATCAAAAATGGAGTTAAAAATTAAGCACAATACTGTCACAACAATAAAACTACATTCAGTTTTGGATCTCATATCTGTGAGACAAATTTGCTTCCTATAGTTTGTAGAGGGTAGCAAACTATTCAGATGTCGACCAGAGCTCTAAACTTTCCAAGGGGTGGTAGCAATTTAGTAGTTCCAATGTATAATGGGTTTTTTGTTTGTTTTTATTTTACAACACTAGTGGCCAACAAAATTTTTAATTTTTTTTTAGTTCAATTGTAGTCTGTAAACCTGTTTCCTAGAATGTGTTTTCTGGAGGTCGTAGGTTTGATTCCCACATCCGAATCACTTCCAGGATTTTATTTCGCAAGTGTTTGGGAATTCGTACTGAGTATTCAGTACGATATTACATCAGGTGTACAGGCTCGTAGCCAGGTTCTTCCAAGGGGAGGTTTTCTGGGCGTGAGGTCCACAGTCGAAGCCCCAGTGGGGTCGGCGAAACCCCCAGAGCAAGAGGATTTTTGTGCTTTATGGGTCTAAATAATGTTATAAAAGCAGATAATATGTTTGAAAATGTCTGTGTCTGGGTGGGTCTGCAGTGCATTAGTTGGGTTGGAGGACTTACGGTATTTGGGAAATTCAAAGATGGGGTTTCGCCAGAAAAGGGGGGTTTTCCCAAACCATAAAAACCCCCCTGGATAAGGGCCTGGGTGTAGGCCATCAGATTGCAGTCTGTAAAACTGCTTCCTAGAATGTTTTATTACTTGGTCCTTCGTAACTATAATTTAAGGTTGGCCTGCTGTAGATTCTTTGATGTATGTCTCCTTAGAAATTGGTAAAAAGTTGGTAACTTATTTAATGATCAATTCAGTGTTTCAATTTAATTTTTAAACTACTTTTTTTAAACAGACTTTACAGGTAGTGATCAAGCCCACATATCCATTACTGGTAATTGTGATAACTGACTGACACTGATATGCATCATTGCACTTTATGTTTTGATATCTTTAGGTTTTCAACAATAGGCCACCCCCACAATTCTTTTAAGCTGTCACTGCCATCTGGTCTATTGTTGAAGGTCTAAAGTTCCAAAAAGGGGTTTTTTTCCCCATCTGCCATGCTCAACTGAAATATTAGTACAGTACACTATATGCGTCAGTTATGATGAAGAAATTATTCTTTTGTTGACTGCGGCTATATTCCGTAAAACCTCGAATAGAAGCCTGGGCTTATTTTTTTTTGCGACCTTTGGATAGGCTTCTTTTCGGGATGGGCTTCTTCTCAAGATTACTTTTGCAAAAAAAAATGGGGGGGGGGGGGGGGTGTT